ACTAATACTAAAGCAGATAACAAAAATTTATACTCTGGAATTACGTTTAAACACAGTTTATATAAAATTAGCAAAAAAAAAAAATAAAAATTCAAAGTCTTTCTTATTTAACTTTTTCAAGCTTTAATAGTTTGTCGTTTCATTCGCTTCAAATATTCAATTTTTAGTACTATATTAATGAAAGATTTACTGTATAATGGTTACTGTGAGCCTCAGAATTCGACCCTAAGGCTGCGGCATTGCGTGATAACTGTTCATGGGGACAAATGTAATAAACTGCAGTTGTCGCACTTATAGTATATCGGGCATTTATACGGGTTATGGAATATTTAGGACTTCGGGATTTCGGAAACTAAGGCATTTGTATAAATATTGCCGCGAAAGCTCCGAAAAACAAGTTTAGTGACCATATGACTGTTTATCATTGAAGAGTATTCATTAACCCTCAAAAGCTATGCTAAGTCTATGTACAGTACTAAATCACTAACTGTTTCATTTTACCTTCCGTCCTCCCTTCCGAGAGTTCTAAAAGTGACGTAAGCGAAAATTAAACTGCAAGCGGCCTAAATGGCAATAGTGATGGATTTTCGTTCGCGATTTGTCTTGTAACGAGCCTCGTACTGGTTTCCGCTTAGATTCAATGTACAATACATGTCACGAAAGTGAGAAGTAAAAGCATAATCAAAGCTAAAGTAGCTTTGTATAACAGCGATTATAATAAAGCCGTCAGTAATAATGTCATTATTATGTGATGATCATGCGATGTAATGGTTCCGCTTGTGAATAGAGTCAAAATTAAAATGCGGTACATTATTGAGAGTCATTGAACCTTCCATGTGATAGTATATCACGGGACTTGTCCATGACGAAATGGTCAGGGACACGTACAAAAGTTTCGATTGATTTATGCAAAATTTCGATAAATTTTGATTGATTTATGCAAAAGTTTCAATAAATTTCGAATCTTCTATAAACAATTTCAATTTACTTCGACTAATAAGAAATAGAAAATCTAAGTAATTTAAGCAAGATTTCAGGTAATTAGGTTCAAAGAAGTCAGCATATATATATATATATTATTGTTGATCCCGTCCAATAATTATTGTTTTTAATTTGCCAAAAATTTTGATCAAATTTGACCAAATTTCAAAAATATTGATTTGACCAAAAAGTTTCGATTTCTTTTGGAAAATTTTTTTTCAAAAATTTTACATGTCTTTGGAAATGGTATTTGAATACTCTTCAATGATAAACAGTCATATGGT